ATAGCTCTTTTAACTTTTTCTGGTTTATTATTCCATATAAAACTATATATTATTTTTTTTAAATTTTGTGAGGTATTCTTTATCAATTTCTGTTACTGATCAACATATGTGATATTTGGTAGGATTAGTGATTTAACAAGAGTTATTTTACCTAACATAGTTAATTTTCTTTTATTCCAATCTTTAATTATTTTTTCCGATTTTTCGTATTGTCTTTGCAAGTTTAATTTTTTACCCTCATTTTTATGTCCAAAAAATATGCCTAATACTTTTATCGGTTCTTGTGTCCACTTAATGTTTTCAACTTTATCTTTACAGGACTTTAAATTTCCGAGCCATATCCCCACTATTTTATTTCGATTAAGCATTAGGCATGAAAGTGATCCGAAAATTTCGATAATGTTCAAAGTTCATGAAACTTCTTGTTTTGAATTTTAAAAAAAAGTAGTGTCATCTGCAAGCTGGCTTAACTTTAGAATATGGGTTTTATTGTCTAGTTTGATTTGAAAACCTTTATTTTTTTTATTTTGTCTTAATCTACCTGCTAAAATTTCAACAGCAATAACGAAAATTATAGAACTCGCGGGACACCCTTGACGGAAACAAAATACAGTACGAAGTAAAAGAGCAATGAGGACCCAAACTTCCCAAAGGTTTTGCCAAATAAAACCAGGGTAATCTATTCCTTGGGTAGGAAATCCTCAGTATTTCGAACAATTTCAACGTTTTGTAAACAATTAATCTGTAATTATGACCATATCAATGGTAATTCATGTCAACACTGAGGTGCTGACTACTGGGCTAAAACAAACCTATTTCATCCGGAAACAGATTATTTTTAGTGTTAAACTAAATGCAGTGTCCATTTGATTACGCTTTTCCTTGTGTGTCTGTGACTGAACTTATTATTTTATTGAGAGGAACATCAACAACACTAGAACTCCTGACAATTTCTAGTTTTATGAAAGCTTAAAGAGACAAAGATCTGTATTAAAGGAGGAAATATTAAAATTAGTTTAATGATAGTTTAGAAAAGTTCACAAGGGAAATTGATGTAAGCTATTTTGTCGTGTTTTTAACATATTTTCACTGTCAATATATGTATCAGACCTAAATACAAAGTATGAAGACACGCGTTTTTTAACATAACAATCATTGTGAATAATGGGTAAATTGATAGAACATAGTCTTCGATTAACATATTTGTGTTAAAAAGGGAGGATGTATGGTGCTGTGATCGGTTTTAATCTTAAAATAACAAATGCTCTAAAGATTGATTTTCATCATAACGGAACTGAACGAAAGATATATATTATAACAATCTGTCAGGATGGAAATCATGAGTTTTTTGTCTGTTTTTACTGGAAATTTCCTACAACCGAAAAATGATTACCACAGCACAACATGAAACATTCGCACACAATCATACATTATATCAAGTTGACGAATTAACATTATCGTGTACGACACTTATTTCAATGTTCATTGCAATAACTTTCTCTTTCTCTTTCTCTGAAATAACTTTTATTTTACTCTGTGTATGCTCGAGACTAAACTGTTTAAGAAACTTACGAAAGGCAAAGTAAAATAAAATCTTTACGAAGAACGAATGAGATCAAGTCAACAAATTGTCTTGATTTCACACTGTCATATTCAATTTGTCTGTCCCAAGTCAAGAGCCTGTAATCCAATTGTTGTCGTGCGTTGCTGTCATCTCGTTTGGTTTTTTTTTCGTTTGTTGTTTTTGGAATAAATCGATTCGTTGGTTTTCAAATTTTGAAATGTTTCAAATTTTGTCCTGCTGGGCCCTCTTTAAATACTGGCGGATTGTTGTCTCATTGGCAATCCTATTATGTCTCCTTATTTTTATATTGATATAACACATATTGACAGTCTAGTCTAACGGATACTCTGCTTGAAATAAATTCTAGCATTGTTAAAGTTGAATTAAATCAGAGCTCATTACCTAAATTATATAGCCGGAAGGGAATAATATTGTATAATTGTTACTTGCTTAACGTTCAGTGACACATATTGCGCGCATATTTAGAACGAGGAAGTAAGCAAAGAACTTCAAAGTTATGTTAATTTTATTGATGAATGAATAGGATAATACAATCTATGTACAGTATGTTACTGTGACTTCATGTCCATATCGAAATTGTCATATTCGACGTAAAATATTCATTGTATGCACAGATTTTTTGTAAAACAATATATGACCAACACCTTTGCACAAAAAGAAACTCGACTAACATTTCCTGTGGCAAAATAACTTTTTTGGAAAGGTTGTTTGTTACACATAACTTGGAATCTCAATGACTACATAAATATTTATAAAAGTTTATCTTAAAATGTAACATATTAATGGTTACATTGGCATGTTTCTGATTTGGTACATGAACACACAAATCATAATTACTATTGTGATAGGTTATTTTTAGAAAGAATTGCCAGTTATTCATTGTTCTATTGACACAAAAAGAGGATCGATCCACATTACCAAGGATCAAGTAATATTTTGTTGTCATCCAGATTGAGTTCTGCAATAATATGTATGTCTTTCATTAAGATGTCAAGCGCTGACATCATATAATAATTTGGTTTATGAAGGTAATAACAAAAATACCGCTCCCAACAAAAATCAATGAATTTCACCAGACGATAAAGATTTATCCGAGTACTCGAGTACTCGTGGGGTCATGACCGAGTTCTCGAGTTTTAAATTTCAGATCTTTTGACATCCCTACAAAATATACGAAAAGGCTCATATTAGACTACAAAAAGACGATTCCATAACACAATTTACAGAGTACTAAAGATATACCAAAATGAACCCCGTCAAAACAAAGGGAAAAGGAAGGATAGGCTGTACATCTTCCAGAATTGTCACTAGTTACCCTTCGTGTTGCTTGTGACACGTCGAAAAACTTCCGGTGAGTCATAAACAGGGAAAGAAGCACAGGAGTGTGGCTACACCAAATGGAACATCTAAGGCTATGATGAAGTTTAAAAAATACAATAATGCATAATTTTCCGGTGAGTCATAAACAGGGAAAGAAGCACAGGAGTGTGGCTACACCAAATGGAACATCTAAGGCTATGATGAAGTTTAAAAAATACCATAATGCATAATTTTCTGAGAAAATACTTCCAATATAGAAATAAAAACAAATACCATTCGTTAAAGATGTAGTGCTTTCGTTATTCTTCTTAATCTCAACATCTACGTCAAGGTTTTCAAAGATGAGCTGTTTAAGTTATATTCACTACATCAATTAAAATCAAGAACTTCAAACGAAGTCACATTGAGTGGTAATCTCTGTCACGACTGTTTACGCTTTAAATAGATACTTTATGTCATCGATATCATAAGAAATAAACTTATCATAGATGCCAGGATTAAAAATGTGTACGCCAGACTCGCATTTCGTCTACAAAAGACTCATCAGTGACGCTCGAATCAAAAATGTAAAAAAGGCCAAATACAGTACGAAGTTAAAGAGTTGGGTAGGAAATCCTCAGTATTTCGAACAATTTCAACGTTTTGTAAACAATTAATCTATAATTATGACCATATCAATGATAATTCATGTCAACACTGAGATGCTAACTACTGGGCTAAAACAAACCTATTTGATCTGGAAACAGTTCAAGATTATTTTTAGTGTTAAATTAAATGCAGTGTCCATTTGATTACGCTTTTCCTTGTGTGTCTGTGACTGAACCTTATTTTATTGAGAGGAACATAAACAACACTAGAACTCCTGACAATTTCTAGTTTTATAAAAGCTTAAAGAGACAAAGATATGTATTAAAGGAGGAAATATCAAAATTAATTTAATGATAGTTTAGAAATGTTCACAAGGTAAATTGTTGTAATCTTTTTTGTCATGTTTTTAACATATTTTCAATGTCAATTTATGTATAAGACCTTAATACAAAGTATGAAGACACGCGTTTTGAACATAACAATCATTGTGAATAATGGGTAAATTGATAGAACATAGTCTTCGATTAACATATTTGTGTTAAAAAAGGGGAATTTATGGTGCTGTGATCGGTTTTAATCTTAAAATAACAAATGCTCTTAACATTGAGTTTCAACATAAAGGAACTGAACGAAAGATATATATTATAACAATCTTTCAGGATGGGGATAAATACTTTTGTGTCTGTCTTTACTGGAAATTTCCTACAACCTGAAAATGATTACCACAGAACAACATGAAACATTCGCACAAAATCATACATCATATCAAGTTGACGAATTAACATTATCTTGGTTTTACTCTTTCTTTGCTAAAACCCACGTGCACGCCACTTATTTCAATGTCCATTGCAATAACTTTCTCTTTCTCTGAAATAACTTTTATTTGACTCTGTGTATGCTCGAGACTAAACTGTTTAAGAAACTGACGAAAGGCAAAGTAAAAAAAAAACCTTTACGAAGAACGAATGAGATCAAGTCAACAAATTGTCTTGATTTCACACTGTGATATTCAATTTGTGTCAGTCCCAAGTCAGGAGCCTGTAATCCAAATGTTGTCGTGCGTTCCTGTCATCTTGTTTTTTTTTTTTTTTTTTTTCGTTTGTTGTTTTTGGAATAAATCGATCCTTTGGTTTTCTCTTTTGAAATGTTTCAAATTTTGTCCTGCTGGGCCCTCTTTAAATACTGGCGGATTGTTGTATCATTAGCAATCCTATCATGTCTCCTTATTTTTATATTGATATAACACATATTGACAGTCTAGTCTAACGGATACTCTGCTTGAAATAAATTCTAGCATTGTTAAAGTTGAATTAAATAAGAGCTCATTACCTAAATTATATAGCCGGAAGGGAATAATATTGTATAATTGTTACTTGCTTAACGTACAGTGACACATATTGCGCGCATATTTAGAACGAGGAAGTAAGCAAAGAACTTCAAAGTTATGTTAATTTTATTGATGAATGAATAGGATAATACAATCTATGTACAGTATGTTACTGTGACGTCATGTCCATATCGAAATTGTCATATTCGACGTAAAATATTCATTGTATACACAGATTTTTTGTAAAACAATATATGACCAACACCTTTGCACAAAAAGAAACTCGACTAACATTTCCTGTGGCAAAATAACGTTTTTGGAAAGGTTGTTTGTTACACATAACTTTAAATCTCAATGACTACATAAATATTTATAAAAGTTTATCTTGAAATGTAAATATTGTAAAGACCTAAAGCATATTATACTATCTGTCTGGCTAGATTTAAAATTCAAACTTTTCTTTCTGTTTTATTATTATAGTTTTTTTTACATTTTTGGTGAAATTTTATTCATTCAATGTCTACGTCTAGTAACAACTCCTCTAGTAGTTCGTCATCTGATGATATATTGTTGCTTGTGCTGTGTTCTATGTAATCTTCTGTTGAAACATCATCCTGAATACCTGTCGGAGTTCGTTTATGTATATAGCATCTGCTATACTGTTCGATTATATTCTTAATTTTGGCAGATGTTGTCTCTTTTTTGTATTTTTCTCCCTTTTCCTCAAACTTGTGCCATAATTTTGGAATCAAACAAATGAAAAGAGCTGTAATAGCTTGCGTCAGTGTCGACATTTTACTTAGTTCTTTAAATGTGAGAAGAATTGAAATGGACATGTATAGAAGGATTACGATGAAGGTCAGTTTCAGTAGAGAAAATAGTATTTCAATTCTTAAGGGTCTGTAGTATCGAACGACATAACGAAATAAAGGTTTGGAAACAGATATTGTACATCCATTACAACTAATCAATGGAACGGACTGGAATTGATTTCCTTTTTTCATCTGTATGCAAATGTTCTCCACTGTTTCAAAAAGGTGTGTATACACAGCATTTACATGTTGTATGCTTTCTGTGACATATATTATAACTGTAAGCGTGAAAACCAGATAGCCGTAAGTAACGTTAGGATAAGCAATAAGCCCAGCAAAAGAGTATGTACAAATCCGACATAAAAAGATGAAGCTCTCAATAAAAAGTAGCGAGAATATGTAAATATCAAAGGCAACACATACGGACATTAATTAAATTACTAGAGTACCGAGAACAAAGCTAGCTGAGCCAGTCTTCTGAAAAATGCGCATTTGCCTTACAGTGTTGTAATATGCATTTATAATGATAATGAAAAATCCTACTATAGGCAATCCGTACACAAATGTTGCTAGCACCCATTCAATAATGCATAAAATAAAATAAATTGGGATCAAACCAGCAGTAAGAACTATTCTATATAATATTTTATTTCCAGTCAATACACTGATGTATCCAATTATTCTTCTTTTCTGAATCTGGAACCCAAGATTCCAAAATGACGGATTGATAAGCATGTAAATATTGGCTTTCAGAACCGAATATAGTCGTGTATATCCAGCTTGTCTGCGGATATTCAGTACAGCTCCCAGTTTACCTTTGGAACTTATATCAACAGTTAATAAAGACGTAAACATATATTCTTTATCGTCTATTCCTTTATCCACAAATTTACTCATGTCAGCTGGAAGACAAATCAGAAAGGCACTTGAAATGTTATACAACGCTAGTGCTAAATACGGACCTCCTAAATACGGAAGAAACTTGTCCCTACTCAGTGAATATCCAGCAGCCATAGACATCCAATTAAATGTAGCTCCTGCTTTAGTGCTGCTGGCCACGTAATCCTTCAGGATGAAGAAGTGCGATAGAACTTCTAAAACAACGAACAGCGAAGTTGAGAGGACACAAATAATTTTGAACAGTCTTGTACAAATTTTTCCGGAGGCGTAAGCACGGTGAAAAAGACCACTCAGAACGTTACCGAATGATAATGGATTTGAAATTAGCCATTCTACGTTAACAACGTTTTGATTTTTGTATTTCTTTTCAGTGTACTTTAAGAATAGAAGGGGTAGGAAAAGAAACAGGAGCCAACCTATTACATAAGGAAAGTTCCACCATAAACCACTGTCAATCATGATTGCGTCACTCGTGCACGATATCATGTCTTTACCAGTAGTTTTATTGAATTCATTTCTGCAGCAGCGGTAACCCATACTTTGCTTTGGGCTAATGATGTATTTACTGAACATGTATGTGGTATTATTGATCCATATTCTACTTATATAACAAATATATCCATACCTTAATCCGATCTCACTGTCATGTTGAAATGACTTGTTAAAAACTTGTAAAAATGCTGATCCTAATCGCTCTGTAGTATTTCTGTCACCAATTCGCACAGGACAACCTCTTTTCAAATTTAAGTTGAATGTCATAGAAATTGTGTATTGATCAAGCAAGCTTAGTGAATACAATGAAAATTCATTCATCAAAGATAAAAATTGAAATCCACCGTTTTCACCTTTATACGTCCATATCCATTCAAGTGGCAAAATTGTACAATAAGTGTGATTTACTTTTCTGTTCTTCATGTCCTCTGAAAAATTGAGACTTATTCTAAGCAGACTGATATGATATTCTTGCGATCGCAGTTTATTTACGAAAGCGTTTATATCCAATTGGTTAATGGTCACTTCACAATCCTCATTTACATGATCATCTTGTGGATAAACTGTTCCATAATTATCACAGAATGTTTCACAAGTCTTCTTTACTAATGTATTGTTTTGTATACCTCTTATGACATGTCCTCTCAGTAACGGAGAAACCATCATTAAAAGGAATAGTGTTGGCAAAAATTGAAATGTATTCATTATGTCGTTACACGTAACAAGGAAGTAGATATAAATTCACGTGGAACGTTTATGTTTGAAATCTAATAACATTTTAATATATTTCAACATCACTTATCATAAATTTTAGGTTTAAAAGCCATAAGTGGTAACAAAATGCTAGCTAGACCTTTAACTTCTTGACACCACAGTCTATTCCTATTAAGTGCACATCAAAAGGTCTTGGTAAATTAACTGAATCAGTGAGAATAAATTATAAAAATCATACAAAAATCACTTTATATTTACATAGTTGACTGACATAATAAAAAATTGTATAAACTTCTTTGTTAGTTGTTGTTTTAGCTTCGTGTCGCATTAGTTAAGCCTTTTGCAATTGGTTTTGATGTGGTTTTTTTTCTTATGTTGTGTCGTTATGTGCCTTATGTTAGGCGACTCATTGGCGACCATACCACATCTCCATAATTTCATAAAAGGTATTTGTAAACAACTTAAAAAAATGACTGACAAAGTCATGAATTAAAGAAAAACACAAAAAATTACACAAAAGAACATAGAATATGACAGTTGTTTTCCATTGGTTTGATTTGTTTGAGCTTTTGATTTTGCCATTTGATAAGGGACTTTTCGTTTTAAATTTTCCTTATAGTTCGTTATTTTTGTTATTTTACTTTTTACTAAAAGACAATAACCCAAATGTCACTTGAAGGAGTGTATAAACCTAGTTCCCACATTTAATTGTTTGTTGAGTAGCACTCTTTTCATCTGCAAGTTTGTATCAGGAAAACTGTGATATGAAACACAGGAGAATCGCATGTGTCAGTTATGTGATATGCATACCAAACATCGATACTACAAGTATGTTTCTTTAATGGTGTGTTATCTAGATAAAGCTAGTGAAATCAATTTGTAAAACTGCAAATTGGTAGGTCATTATAACTCGTCATTCAAATTCATTCAGATAAAGTATTTGAAAGAATTATACTTGGCCCATTTATATTTGCACGTGCATGCGAGTTGGGTCAACTGAAATGATGGCAAACCAAAGAGAACAGACAACTCAGTGACATAGTCTTGTTTGAATCTTTATGATTGTTCATACAATTCAAAGTCACAAAAGAGGTGATAAGTAAGTCACTGTTACATTATCAAAATAAATAGATGTATTATGTAATTAAGGGTCAATTGTAATGGTATATAGGTTTCATGGGCAAGATATTAAACTTACAAGACGTAACACATGAAAATTAAATAAAAACGCGCGAACGCTTTGAATTAGGTAGTAGAGTAAACTCTTTCTTTTTAAGATAGTGTAACAGGTGGAACATAGTAAATAGAATACAAACTGATATTTGGAAGTGGTTTTTGGTGATTATATGTATTTTGTATTATTTAAAGTCAAACATAATGTATTTGCAGCACACAAAGTGCTTCAGTAAAATAAAATAAACTTCTCTAGATAGACTTTAAAAGTTAGGAAGCCAAACATTTACAAAGGAAGTGAATGTATACTTTCCTTTCGTTCCATTTGTTTAAATAGTCTACCGTTTGATTTTGTCTGATTTTATGGACTTCCCCCTATTTTTTTATTTTACCTTGGTATATTTGTTAATACTTTTTTTTTGTATTAAAATATAAAGGACATAAATGGAGTAAGCTAGCTCGGCATTTCCAACTAAATCAAATGTAATAATGTAATATAACACAGTATATCTTACCCATAAGACATAGCAAATATTTATATAATAGCCGTCTTCATGTGTGCTCAAAACCAGCCAATTGTTTAGAGTACCTTGATGCCAAGAAGTCGTAAACAGAACAATTAAATACAATCAGATAGGTATTAAAACCCTGACTGTGTTTCAATGTACATTTCACAAATTGATATGGCTGAAGGGACGAAACTTCAATTCAGATAAGTTTAAATAATTCGCTTCTTTTTAAAGATGTTTTACTTTATAAAGGATAAATGATAAAATATTGATTTGTTTCCCGTGGTGAAAGTATTACCATAACGAGAATTTGATATGCAAGCACTTTTTATGTTCGAAACAAAGACGACCGTACATTTTGGTTATATGTGGTCTTAATTGAATTATTTTTTAAGGAATGTGATGTCAAAATGATTTGTTACTTGTTTATGTGAAAAATTTAAATAATTAGATAGAAAGAAATGTTGATACAGTGTTTGTGGCTTATTAATTACATTCAAATTAATGAATAGTACGTTAGACACATTCATGATAATTTTCGCGTAGGAAAGACTTCATATCATATTAAATATATGTAATACCAATGTATTGTATAATAGCAAGGAGTTGATAAGGAACCGCAAATCCTAATATTAAAAAAAACAGATGGAGCATCATCAGGTATGTTCTGAGGTAAAGTATTATCTCATACTACTCCTCTGTCAAACAAGGTCAATGGACATGTAGGGTTGATCATACTATGTGGGCCCTTTACCATGGCTGGGGACAATTTGATAACCACTTTATTTCTATTTGGTTTAACCTGTAGTGTTGTCTTGTACGATTCAGTGATGTTAATCCCATTTTGTATAATGCTGTTCAGGGTCAGTTGGTTTTAGAAACTTCCTGTTTGCAAATATTGCAACTAGTGAATAGAAACAATTATGATCTTTAGCATATGTCACTATGTAGGAATCTCGAACTGTCTCCCCATTCTTGTCTATAAAAAAAAATATTGTTGTTTGTTATATTTCCCAACATGACTGCATATGTACATACATTTCGCTGCGTTGAAGACCCATTGGTTACTTTGGGCTGTTTTCTGCTCTTTTGTCGGTTTGTTGTCTCTTTGACACATTCCTTGTTTCCATTCTCAATTCTATACAACCTGCTCGTCAACGGGATGACATAAAACACGATACTACTGTGGAATTGGGCATTTTTCTGTATCAAATATTTATTAACAGTTGTATTTCATCATAATACATCCCAAGATATTTATGAATAGTAAAAACTTCTCCTGAATGATGAAATAACTGGCTGCGATAATGCATCTTGTTACACGAATTTGTTACTACAAATATCCTAACTGTTAAAATGTGAATCCGTGTAAATAAAATCAAATTTTGTCAATAAAACGGAACTATAAACAACTGACATACCAATAGGAGGTTAAGCTAGCTATAAAACCAGGTTTAATCAACTATTTTCTTCCGAAAATCCGTGAACCAAGTGAAGAATTTGACACTTGTTTTTCACTTGTTCCGTTGATCTATATCGTTTGATTTTGTCAGTTTTTATGGACTTCCCCTTTTTGAATTTGCCTTGAAGTTCGATACATTTTTAAAACTTTTTTACTAAAATCAGGAACGGTTTCTGATTTTAATATTGTCAGTGTTTCTTTTATATCCCTTTACTATAAATACACAATCTTTTTAAGTTAATGTTGGTCATGTAGCTCCTAAAGTATACATCTTTATGAAGGTAAATCCAGGCAAACGCTTCCGACGCACTAAGCTTATTAAATCTGTTTACATTATTCAAATGTGTAAAAACAAACAGTGCTGAAACCAAAATTCTGATACGTTCGACGTATGATACCGAGCTTTGTTTAAATTAAACAATGTGTGTTTTAGTTGTTATAGATTATTACAATCAAAGTACTGACGTAGTGTTTACTCGGATTATCCCAAGAACTTACGGCTGACGAATAATAGAGAAATGTTGTTATCCCTGGCTTAGTATATTTCTTGGATTTTGATTGGCTAATGACCGTCGTTAAAAAACCCATAGACTAGGGTGTTGCTAATCCATATAATGGATATTGCTATCCATTACCCGGGGAACTTCGCGCTCGTTTTCCTTAGTTCCATGGTTGTTCACAGGGAAAATTGAATTCTGTAGATTATCCATGATGTCTGTAATTGATTATTTTAGTAACTGCAACACTTGGCTACTACGTCGTCAATGAACGGGACTACTGACCTAGTTATGCAAATGACTCACGTTGACGTCATGCTGTCTATGACACAACGCTTGCGACATTGAGTGTCAAATTTGATTTATTCTAGTTTTTCTCTGTCTCTGGATTACGAAAGTCTTATATTTGACTACCAATAGGGTTTTATCAAAAGTAGTACCCTACACACCGTAGAAAATATGTCAAAAATCCAAATTTCAATATAAAAATGTTGCTTAAAAATGTTGCTTTCACGTTACATTTTGTGCCCGAATTTCTAGAAATCGCCCGATTCGAAAACAGGGGATTTTTTCGTTATCTACCTTTATATGCGTAGATATTGGTATTTTAACACCCTTTAATCACCCTGTACACCAATCGGCTTCGCCTCAGGGTATTAAAATACCCATATCTACGGATGAGACGTACATTACTTATAATTTCACTGAAGAACCTGCTTTTGTTTTCTTATCAGTTATAAAATACTTAACGTATATTTGGTCGATACCATTTTTACAACTGATTCGTCGGTACAGAGCGTGAACAGCGACAACTGAAAAAGAGGATTTGCAGAGCTTTATCAGAAATTTTTATTTGCAGCATGTTATTACATGTAATAACACAAAGATTGTTGCAAGGGTTCAGCAACGGGAAAAGTGCATGGTACATTCCGAAAACATGATATTATTCACTTATATTAATGCCCCATACAGATGGTTTTGGACGTATACAGGCAGCAAAATTGATGCACTCCTGTCTTAGAAATGGCTATTTTTTCCACAGAGAAGTCCGGGTGGTACTATTATACTCAATTTGTCCTGATGTTTAGAGTATGGTATGCTTCTCCATACATCTTTGCTTCAAAAGGAACTGAACTATATTTCTCCTTTACTCCCTTAAATCCATAGAGTATGTCGTTAATACCTTCAAAACTGTCTTGTAAAGCTGTTTGCATAGCTCTGAATATTTTTCTCTTTTAGGCACGACCTCTCTAAAGTCTTAATCGTCACATTCTCATGCAGAATGATTAATGCAGTAACATCATAAAAACAATTGTCTTAGTGGTCTAAATGAATAACA